TTTTTTTTTTTTTTTTCCATAGTTTAATTAACCTGCAACCCAAGACGGGACCCTTGCATACTCTCCTCCCGGGTCAGTCAGAAGGATCCTGGAGCCCATCATGGGCAGGGTTGCACACTTCTATCGGATTAAGTATACCTAATGGGCCTAATGCACAACATATGATGGTGTGCAGCTCTATTTAAAGATAAACTGTATATTTCTTCTTTTTAGTATGTTCTTTGTACTGTTGAAGGTAAACATTTTGCATGAATCATCGTCGTTTCTCCCAATGCAGTGGGCAATCCATTGTCTTTGATGTTTTTCTAGAACTTTTGATAGGTATTGTTTGCTTAAAAAGTCTGATCCTTCTGATCGTGTAGCATCTTCAGATTTTGTTTCTCACCACTTTCGGTCTCACGTCTTTGTTTTGCTTATTGTTTTTTATGTTATTTGTTCATTTCGTGGATTCACGCGTTTTTCAACCGTTCCAGAGATCATACTTCGGAGGATCTGTTATAGACTGTTGAGATCTTGGTAATTTCTGGCTGTGTGGGTCTCCATGAATAGCATGCGTATGTTAATCTTCTTCTTAAAAGTCCATTGGGGAATTGGATTCTTGTAGAAAGAGTGATTTTTCGATTTGTCAAAAGGTTCTTGTTATCAGCAAATGCTGCTTTAGTTGACACTGTTCTTTTTTATAATTTCTAGATCACCGATGTGTACGTCATTGTACACCATTAAGATTCCTGGTATTTGAAGGATTTGGTATTAAATTAATACTATTAATTACATTTATTTGGATAGTCAGTTTCTTCTTTCCAATTCCAGACCATCATTTCTGTTCTGCCATCATTGATTTTGAGACCCCGTTGAGACCAAACTCCTTACATACACCATATGCAATATACTAACCATTCTAGACAAGTACAAGACTGTTTAATAGTATTATAGGTCATTTGCATAACCTGCATGTACATCATTAAATGTTCCTTGCATTGGTGATATTGCTATCTATGCTCTGTTCGTGGCCCAGTTGGTCCTAATTCCCTGCAAGGTATGTTGATGGTGGTTTGTAGAGGGTTGTAGTATTTCAAAGGCTTGCTGGCCAGTTTTTGATTTGATTTGTATGACATTTCTTGTAGTTGTTTGCATGCATACTGTAATTTATGTAAGGATACAGTACATCAGAAAAGTGTCATGATTTCAACTTGTTCGAACATTTTTATTTATTTTAATAATCTTACTTTTAATAAGTTTTCAATTAGAACCATTGAAACCTATATTGCAGACTTTACATACAAAAGATATCACTAGAAGATTATTTAAAATTAAAATCCACCCGAAGCCTTGAAAAGTATCTCATAGATAAAAAAAAATTTTTAGGGGAAAGTTTAAACTTTAAAATAAAGTCAAATACTCTACCCCTAGATGGCAGGACCTGTAAATGGTCAAAAGAAATATCTGGCCATTGTACCCTGTGCAAAACTGGTGAGATCTAAGATGTCAGACACTTTTTATTTATTTGCATATCATTTGATGTTATTAGGGAGTCCACATTATTAAATTTGATAAAAGATCTTGTTCTGAGTCTGCAACATGGGAAAAACTTACTGATTCAAATATTAACAAGAAAATGCAAGTCGAATGGTCGAGCACTTAGCAGGGGCGCCGCAAGCTATAGCCAAAATATCGGCGCTGGTTCGAACGGCACGCTCGCCTACGGTTCTGGTGGTAGAACAAGTCTTCTCGGATAAGGACTATAAACCGTAGACCCAGTGTATACAATGGCTCGTGTGCACTATAAAGAACCCAGTACATCCTTCGAGACGAGTAGGGGGCAGACCCCGGTGTACTGGAACAGACAGCCCCTGTGGTAGACGACGAGAGTTGCTGGTACCGAGTTATCGGGTAGCACAGACAAAGGGACTCTTAGGGGCGAAGAAAGTCATTGATCGAGTTCCTAGTCCATATATCAAGCGCCCTGAGCATCTTACATTAGATGGATATATGTGCAATATAAAACTACACTATTTTTATTACTATTACTATTAAATGCAACTAGCCCCTCTCCCACCTAGGTTTATTTCACCTAAGAGTCGTACGATTTCTACGAGTTAAAACTCGTGATCTTTGGAAAGGACCTATACGAGCTTATTACGTGTTAGCTACGAGTGAGGTACGAATTTATGGAGTTGGTTACGAGTTATGTAGGAATTATGCCGAGCACAGCACCGAGTTAACTACGAGATTATCACGAGCGTAACAAGTTTGTACCGAATTAGATACGAGTTAGGTACGAGCCAACTCGGTGCGCTCGTACTTACTCGTACTCGTTTTTGGGTGCTCGCATCAAACTCGTAGATGACAAAACCGCTGGTGCACTATAAAGAACCCAGTACATCCTTCGAGACGAGTAGGGGGCAGACCCCGGTGTACTGGAACAGACAGCCCCTGTGGTAGACGACGAGAGTTGCTGGTACCGAGTTATCGGGTAGCACAGACAAAGGGACCCTTAGGGGCGAAGAAAGTCATTGATCAAGTTCCTAGTCCACATATCAAGCGCCCTGAGCATCTTACATTAGATGTTACTACACTATTTTTATTACTATTACTATTAAATGCAACTTATACTGGGTGAAGAAACCATTGATCATAGTGATGACGTTTTAACTGCATTTGACAAGTATTGCAAAAAATTATTTAAAATTTGCATGGGATAAACACTCATATTTGAAACTGATTTGATTTTACATTGTTGCTTTAAGTTTTCTTTTCTTTGTTCTATTTAATAAGCCTACTTGTTAAGCCTTTTGTTTATGTTTAATTCTAGTTTAGTATTCGTAGTATACTTTTGTTAAGCTTTGCCTAAATTGATTTTGTTTTCTTTAACTTAAGCACTTTGTTTAGTTTTTTTTTTTTTTTTTTTTTTTTTTTTTTTTTTTTTGAGCTTTGTTTTTTGTTTACTGCTTAAATCTTTCTTACTTTAAGATTGACTGCACCACTTAATTGTGTGTTGCAACTATCACAAAAGTGAAATGTTGAATAAATTATTATTAAATGACTGTATACGCCATTACTACATACTTTGCCGGTTCTAAAGCCAAAGTGGGTACATCAGTTGGTTCTCATAGAAGGGTGAGATCCTGTTAATGATATTCATCGCAACTTTAGTAAGGGTTGACCTCATTGCGATTCCCCTGTATTTACTGGAGTCAAGAGGACTGCCTTTTTCTTATTGCATGTGGAGTTGTGCCCCACAATGCTGATACAGTTGGTTTGGCCATATAATAATTCTAATAATAATAAAAAGTTGGAACAAAAGTGTCCATATTTTTAAATATTCAAAACGCTGTATCTCATTTAACTGTTTACAAGGTTTTCGTCAAACCCCATGTTTGTGTATAAGGAAAATCAGCTGTAGGGACCTACAACATATGGATGTTTTCTCTCTGGTGCCCGGTATTTTAAGTCAGGCTCCGGAGGGAAAAAATTGATATGTTGTAGAACTGATTTTTCTTAGACAGAAAAAATTTGTTTGACGAAAACTGGGAAACAGTTAATGAGATACAGATTTTTGAATATTAAAAAACTGTGGGGGGGGGGGGGGGGGTTGGGTAAAAAGGAGTGTAACCAACCTTTTTTACAACTTTTTCACCAAGTTTTAAATATTCAAAAATAATATTTGACCCCTGTATTAAAGCAGTATAAAACATCAAGATATCTCATGTAACTGTAACGCATGACAATGGCTGTTTGAATACCAAGAACTGTATGGACTATTTCTAACTAATTGATATATATCTATCCATGAAAACTTACTTATCATCAAAAATCATTCTCACCACTTTCTGTTATCATTAACCATTACTATCCTCATCAAAATCAAGTTAAAGTACACACAGAAATCAGGATTTTTAATAAATTTTTATTTGTTTTTTTTTTCTCTAAAAATTGGCTTAATGTTAATAATAAATATAATTCAATAGAAATGTTAGAAGAAATCTGTTGCCTTTTTTCTTGAATCTCGCCTTGGCAAATCAAGAAGATTATCTGTAAGACTAGAATTGCTGCTTGCTATATTAAAATTACCAGGTGTACCACCAGACGTCCCACTACATGTTGCTACAGGTGTCTGTACGGGTGTGCCTTTTGGAGTGGCTTGTAAAATAGGTGTTTTATCACTTTTTCGTGCACTTTGGGGTGATGGTGTGTAGCTTGCTCTTAATGCTTTGTCTGTGCCTTTAGTTCTCCTGTTCACTAGACGCTGGGCTGCTGGTGATAACGTCCTTATTCTTTCTACACTGTTCAGAGATCCAAAACTTGGGCTGAATAATAAATTGAACAGAAAAAACAAGGCATAATAAATATCAAGCAAAAAAAATCAAACAAAATATTTTCCAGCCTCTATTATGTATTCTTGTCATAAGATTTGTATAGTTCATGTAGTTAATATGTACCAAAATCTGATGACCAAATATCGAAAAAAAAAAAAAAACTGTTTACTTTACTGCAATTAATGAATACAATAAAAAGATAAAATTTTCTTGAACCTTGAAAACAACTTGTTTTAATTGAACATTAATATTTTAAAATTAAATGTTAAAAGATTGCTTCCTAATAATTCAATGAAAGCTCTCATTAATAGTATCTCATTTTTGGGTTGTAGGCGATTCAACAAAGATTTAATAAGACAAAGAGCTTCGCAACTCGAAGTAAGCTATTGTAGTAGACTAATGCATGATGGACGTCTGTATGTTGATAGCCACACTAGAGACATTTTGTACAGTAGCAGACAAGACAAGACAAGAGAGGGTGTAGGGAGAAGAAGAGCAGACTGGGTATACACAGATGAATGTGGGTTTAGTTAAAGAAGTGGTGAAGTGGGTTTGAGAAGAGTAGACAGATATGATGATTTTACAGGGTTTAAGTGGGTCAAGGAAGAACAATGGTATCAGGGTAAATGAAGAAGTAGATGGCTGTAGGCAGAGGAAGTGATAGATGGGTGTAGACAGTTGATGCATTATTGGATGAATACAGATAAAGTGATAGACTGGGTGTTAGCATAAGAAGTGGTAGACTGGTTATACAGACAATGATATTAATGGGTGAAGGCAAATGCAGCAACAGACTGTATAAATACAAGTGATAGTATGGGTCTAGACAGAGAAGTGCTAGACTTGGTGTTGGCAAAGAAAGTGGTAGACTGGGTCTAGGCTGAGGAAGCGGTGGGTGTAGTCAGATGAAGTGGTAGATTGGTTGTAGTCAGAAGAAGTGGTAGATTGGTTGTAGTCAGAAGAAGTGGTAAACTGGGTATGTCAGAGGAACTGGCAGACTGGGTGTAGTCAGAGGAACTGGTAGACTGGGTGTAGTCAGAGGAAATGGTAGACTGTATGAATGCAGGTAAGTGAAAGACAAAATCAATGCTAAGGGAAAGATAGGTTTGTAGGTGGAGGTAGTGATAGAATGTGCGACTCACCTTGTGAATCTTTGCGTAACATTTTTTAGAGCAGCTTCTTTTTTAGCTCTGTGCTGTTTTGCATTTTTCTCCACCAATGAACGTGCCAATTCCTCCCGCCTGGGATTTTTTGGCATCTGATTAAAATTTAATAATAAAAATCATTTAGCAAAACTTAAGAGAATATATAGTTTTAATTGATGCACAGAATATTAAGGTACTACATAATAGTCTATAACCATTCTAATCACGAACACCCATAACCCAAACTCAAGGTCGGAGTTTCAATCCCTTGCTGTGCATTTCGCTTGTGTCCTTGAGCAAGGCACTTTAACTGCATTGCTTCTCTCCACCTAGGAGTATAAGTTGGTACCAGGAGGTTCGAGTGAAAACTACGCTGATATATTTCATGCAGCAAACTATGGAATTTCCCCATAGGACATCGTTCCAATGACTGGGGTAATAATGTGTAAAAGTGCTGAGACTTAGTTGTATAGAGCACTGTAAAACCTCAAATTGAAGCCAAGTGGGCTTAATCTTGAGATGAAGCTCATCTCGAATTGAACCCCTCAAATTAGCTTTGAAAAGAAGCCCATAGATTTAGTAGCATAGACAGCATAGGCTTCTTTTCAATGTAGTACAATACCCTGTACATGAATTAAAAAAAAAAAAAAATTAAAAACAAGTTTGGTTTATACAGTAGTTTAGGTGATTTAATGCCAGTTATATACACTCCATGATACAGATTGATGTTACAGTGGCCTTATTTAGTGTTTTAGAACAAATGAGGCATGTTGTGGCAAAATGGCTAGGTTGTAGCAAATATTGAAATTCAAGTTATTGGAATTTTCAGATACCTGAGTATGTGATCATTAAAATGAGAGGTCATTCGTTGGAAATTGGAGTCAAGATAAACATGATTTTTTTAAAGTTTTTTTTTTTTTTTTTAAGTTTTTTAAAGTTATTTGTGCATACATTGCTTAATAGAATTTATCAAAACGATGTTAAATAAACGATTTGTTGACCACTTCCAGAACTAATACTTTAGCCCTTGGTTAATAAGACTGTTATTTTGATTTTTATGCAATTTTCCCCATATTTTAGAGCTCATTTACTCAATACTGGCCTGTGCAACAACTTATACACCATTTCGTCACAACATGCCTCAAATTCACAAAATGTACAGCATTCATTTTGAAAAGAAGCCCCCCTCTTTACTCTGCAAAAGTCTCGAAAAGAAGACCATCCAAAGTTCGCAAAAAAAAAGAGTCAAGAGCTTCAATTTGAGGTTTAACGGTATATAAAACCTACATATTATTATTATTACTAGACAATCATCAAACTTTCACCTAACATTACATCACAATAATCAAAACCATCAAAATTCCATTATGGTCCTGTTTTTGAAAAAATCATTAATCATCATTGTCACTGTCAACATTTTCATCATCATCATCAAGGTAATCATCACCATTATTCTCAATATTCCACTGAGGGATCTAGACAAATTAAAAACTCTTGTATGTTTCGTTGATATTTTTCAACTACTAAATATCCTATTAAAAGCTTCTGTACCTTAAATCCAAGGGTTTTGGTGACAGGTGTCTGTGAACCATCAAGTCTCATTGGTGTACTTTCAATCTCACCCCATGTCATTAATGGTGAATCATGAACGCCTATTAAAAAAAAATATTGAATAATATAATCACCAATCAACAAACTAATTATTCATAAAGCCAACCAATCACCACTCAATCAACCAATAGTACATATTATAATCCCAATTACAAAATACGTCATACAGTAATAGGACATTGTTATTAACTCGACATTGTTAAATAACATCTGTATATTTTTTGTGTAAAACAATTACAAAATAAAATGATAATTTGTACAGAGTTCAACTTATTTATGAATTTCTAAGTATGCATTAATCTATATATTACTCATTAATTATTACAGGAAAAAAAAAAAGGTAACATGGAATTGCTTCTATAAAAGAGTATAAATAGAACCAGACTTAACTATGCTTATTCTGCGCATAAAAATATGATAACATACGCAGCCAATGTAGGACGCTCCCTGTCGTTTGCACTGTATTCTCTTTATTACCCAGTATATACACCGTGCAAAATGGTATGATGATAAAGAAAAATAAGGAAATCTACTGCCCTCTACGCAAGTATTGTGTCATGTAGAATAAAGATAAACAAACCGTCCGCGGTGCAATACTGGGTACAAAAGAAACATACGAACGGCAGCAAGCATCCCACAATAGGGAGTGACATATTTACAAACGGGAGGGAAGCTCTCTTGTTCTATTTACACTCTTTGTTTCTATTAACATACCAGGTACTGGTGATGGTGCTGATACAAATCCATAACCTTTAACCCTTGGTGTCTCTGATTCTAAAATTTCTTTCCCATCATGTCCAATCTTCCCTTGTTTCATTGCAGCTTTGCTGGCTATTGCTCGTGCCTTAGCTTCCAACTGGGCACTATTTCGATGAGGATTACATAAGAATCGTGTGTTCTCATACAAAATCTCCCTTTCTTTAGATTTTTTATTTATCTTTTCCTCTGCAGTGTCTTCAACTCCTGAAATAAATATACCAGTTTAAGTCCTGCTATTCTTTATTTAAATTATTGAGACTGTGCCACAGTTTTTGAGTGCTGCCATTAAGTGTCATCTAGTGATTAGGAACAAATAATATTCTAACAATTAGCATTGATAATAGTATCTACAGATAATCTGCTTTTGAGCTGCGGCTTGCTGGTAAAGATGCTTATCCTTCTACTGTAATACTGTGTTCAATCTTCATAAAAAGCATTAATGAGCAGGGGTGGATCCAATGGGTGCCCTACCATTTTGCTACTACATTATTTTATTTCAATTCATACTAAAGAAACAATTAAATACAATACAAAATGTTTCAATAGGGCCTCCGGCCAAATTGATACGCCATTACATCTAGCACTCCTTACTTATTTCCATCTGAAAAATTCCTCTGAAAAATTTTAGATCTGCCTCTGATAAGACGAATCCTGAATAATAAACTTTGCTGGATATATTATCACCAGTAAAATAAAAAACCCTTCTTAAAAAATCCATTTAAAAAATGTTCTTCAACTGAATATTTTTTAATTTTGGATAAAACTAGTTTTTCATGAAAAATTCTTTCAGCAATATTGCATGAATAAAAAATACCACTATTCAAATGCAAGGGTCTAAATTTGGAAGGATCGGCATATGGGCAATCTGTTTTCCGAGAGATTCTTGCTTGCCTGCAAGAGTTCGGGAGGCTGTACTTTTTCCTGGGAAACTCCCACGACTTCCAGGAGACTTGTGACCCCTGCTAGATGTGTGTTTTACTTACCATCTGGCACATACATCAAAGAATTTTTAGCTTTGTAAGTCCATGAGTTGAGGCCAGCTGCTGGAGAGCCCTCTATTGCCAGTGATTCTGGCCCATTTAACATCAGCAGATGCTCACTCTCCTTTTTTAGACGCTTTTCCTCTTCGTATAACCATGCATTCTTTTCCCGACGGCGGTCAGATGCAGCTTCCATGAGGTCTCCAAATGAAGCATTATCTTCACTTGTATAATTGCTCAAGTATCTATCCAATGATAAGTCAGTATTGGAGTTTCCTAAAGAAGAGAAAGAAAATTCCAGGTAATGGTCCATTAGAAATTAAGTAAATGTCTTAAATTTCAACTTTTAGTATGGAGAGTCCAATTGGTCAAATATTAAACAAAAACATTCTTTTATCATAGAAGTGACTACTTACCATACTCATATTTGTTGTTTCTATTTGTATGCTTTTCAAAAAACATTACAGTTTGTATGATGGCATTTTAGAGAAAAATGAGTCTTATGGATATATCAGAATTCAGTAATAATTTATAAGATATATTTTTATTATTTATTATTGTATTTTGTATGTTCATGGCTTATACTTATTATGTTCTTATTATTTGTTTTATATCCATTTTGTAATTAGAGATGTACTATCAGTTAAAAGACAAGAAAATACCTCAAAAATTTAAATAAAATTTTGAATAGCTCATTTGAAAGATCAAATAAATTATTAGCATCCAACAAGGAACAGATAAAAAAAAGTAGTTTTTACTGACTTACAAACATTTTACTAAAAAAAACACCCCTTAAATTGATTACCAGCCAAGCCGGTTGGTTCGTTAAACACATTATAAAAAAAAAAATTTCGCCTCATGGCTGATAGTGCATCTTTAATATATTTCTAGAATATTTTAAATGTTAAATTCATTTTCTACAATTTTTATTTTTATGTTTTATAGATGAATTATCAATACCTTTATCTTTCTCTGTTTCCTGGATGTCTTTGGCTGTACTTGGCTCTGGATTGCTGATCAGTCTATCTACACCCCCTCTGTCTGCTGTGGGTGTCTGAAGTGATTTAGCATTCATATCAGGAGTCTCAAATGTTGCTGGGGTAACAGCCTGCTCAACTGACAAAAAAAAAAAAAAAGTGAAAGCAATCAAACTTATAAATTTAAATGATGTTTAGATTCCAGAGGAAAAAAATGTTTTAATATGTGTAGAACTGGAGAAAAAATGTTTGATATGTTTTTTAATATATAAAAACTGGAAGGGGGGGGGGGGAAGGTGGAAAAAGGGTGGTTGCACCACCTTTTTCCCCAGATTTAAATATTTATAAAATTGTATCTCATTAACCATTCCCAAGTTCTTTCGTCAAACACTTTTTGTGTCTTGGAAAAATCAGTTCTACAACATATCAAACATTCATTTTTTCTGCAGAGCCTGGCAATTATAAAATATTGTACTGAGTCTTTAAAATGCATTCAAATTAACTGCAGTACTTTGTGTGTAACTTACAGTATATTAATAATAATAATAATAATAATATCTTTTGTGTTATTTTCCCCTTAACGTCATGTTATTTTCCCCTTAACATCTAAACGTTTTCTAATTTTTCCATTGTCTAAGTTCCCCTTATGGCAGGTTTTAGTAAAATAATAATAATAATAAAATTAATAATAATATTAATAATAATAATAATAATAATAATTAGTACTGATGTATAATGATATGTTATAGCAGAATACACTATACTTCAGTTTGCTTTTTCACTGAATTATTACAAGCAGTAATTCATGTTAGAAACTTCAATAAATATGGCAGGCAAGACGTTCTTTGCACAATAACATGAACATACTCTATGTATATTTACATTGTGCAGGTGTGTTTGTTTGTTGCCTGTGTACAGTTGAAGCTTGTAGCTTGATTGCAATCTCTCTCATTTTAGTGACATCATTATTGTCTCTGGCTTCCATGTACTCTACTTGGGAGTGTAATTTCTCAAGGTCTGGAAAAAAATCTCTCTGGATAATTTTCTCAAGATCCTAGAGAAAAAGAATGACAATCAAAATCATCTGGATGTTTTCCTATGTATCTCATTCCTTCTATCAACTACATAAAAATACATCTTTAAAGCAACACACATGTCCCAGTATAGAAGAAATTATACATATGAAATAATATTTGAAGCAGCTGGTTCAAGATATGCTGACATTTTTCTGATTAGTTCACATTTTAAAAATGACATCACCTATTAAATTCTTGAGGGAAGTGAAAAATAGAGCACCTTGGTTTTGAAAATCACTCACCTTTCAAACTCCAGATACTGTGGGAGTGTTTCCTGGTAGGATACAGTATGTATTTTGTGTTGCTTTGAACACCACAGAAGCTTAAATTTCCCTCTCACTAAAATAATCACTTGCCTAAAACAAAATTAGATGTGCGCTCACCTGCCATTTTCATATAATTAATAAGCCCTGACACTCGCCATTTACATCCGGTCAATGGCTGTTACCTGTATACTCAACATCATAGCAATATTACAGAAGGGCTTTATTACAGATAGAATGCACAGTATGCACAAGTGTAAAAGCTAAAGTGCACTTCAGTTACTGATTAAATCAGCTACCGTTTTATTAATATGGACACAAAAAACTGATATGAATTACTTTTCTAAATTTTATTAATATAATGTTTGGTTGTTCCATTGTTTATGTTTCAAGACAAAAATGGCAATGCAAACAAAGGCAGAAGTTACTTACCAAGTTTTAACCAAAAAAAAAGTAAAGCTTAAAATTTTTATCTCCTGTAGTACCAAGCATATACTGTATTATCGACAGATTTAAATAGCGCCGAGACGACGATCCTAGTTTACCAACATAGGAGATCCTTGTTAAAAATAAGATCCCAACAGTCGTTTGTCTACTTCTTGACATATACCACTTTTACACTGCCAAGGGCAGAATAAACCTGTGTTAATTCCGGAGTGATCCCAGATACATTTCCCATATTGAACGAAAAAGTCCGGGTTGCTCCCATTTTCACTGGCAACGAACTTGGGTTCAATTCCGCCCTCAATTTTTGTTGCGATAGTGATCATCACTTCGTTCGAGTTCCACGTCGTGACGAAGCCGCAATTATTGTCAATATTGAAGCAATGCAGATAGTTTTTAAAATTATGTGAATTAAATTAACAGTTTTGATATCGAGTCTATACCAGAGCACATAGGGTTTAATTGGTAGGTTCCAAGACAACCTGCGCTGATTACTAGCTGCAATTTACCGAATGATAATATAATTTCATTTACTAATTTAATTTGGTGTTTCAATGTGTTCCATATGTGTTTGATCCAATGACTGGGGTAGTAATGTGAAGCGCTTAGAGACCTTGTATAAGCGCTATATAAGAACGACATATTATTATTATTATTATTATTTGAGTGTCTAGGCCTAACCCGTTGCTGGCAAAATTTAGGCCTACCTGACCACAGTTGCGATAGGCACCAGGTAAGGCCTAACTCCGGAATTGGATTCGGTGTTGTTTACACTAGCGATTCCGGAATTCACCTGGGTTGTCCCACGCTGAATGTGTCCTGCACATCGATCCTGGGATGTTTGGCAACCCAGGTTGTATTTTTTGATGTTTACACCAACCACACCTAAAGAGTTTCTAGCAATGGTATTGCAAAATCCCGGGTTGTGTTCGGAATTTTGCTTTGCAGTGTAAAAGGGTAATATTCTTTTTTGGCTTCTTTTAATTCATCCATGCTGGCAATTCACTTGAATAACTGTACAGTAACATGTTGTTGACTTTTTAGTAAAATTTTCTAGGACAGTTTATCTCGCATGGCATCATATTTTCATAAACTTACTTTTCATTTTTATCACTTTTATCATTAGCTTATGACCCATCCCATCATTTCATCACCAGATTTTACTCAATATCAATCAACTGTCAGACGATAGCAAAGTGTCTACTGACCCCCAAAAGTGGCAGTAGACACAATAAAATGAGAAAAGAAAAATCAAATAATTATCTAAACATTAAAATACTGTAAGCTTACTGTAATATATGCATCTTCATCTAACACTTTCCTCTTAGGTGGTCTGTGCTGTATTAGTTTGGTGGATCCCACAGCCTTTACAGCTTCCAGTGCCTTTTCTCCAACCTTTACTAATGCCATCTTCTTATGCAAAGTTTAGGCCAAAGACCTAAGATCATCAGTGCTTGGATATAAAATATTCTATCTACAAAAGAACAAATCCAAGTTATGTTGATTTTCACAAAACTTGCTTAGACATGTACATCTAGCAAAGCATCAATCATCATTTTTACCTGAATAAAATCACCTACGCAGCTTTTTAAATAGAATCCATAATTATCCTTGAAAAAAATATTTATGTGCTATCGCATTCATATCTAGAACAGTTTGAAAATTTCATCAGAATAAATTCCCATTGTTTCTCAATCCATATTTCATTTGTTTGCCCATACACAAGACTATACAATAGACCACACTTGGTCAGTGGCGGCTCTAGGATATATTTTCTTGGGGGGGGGGGGGGGGGGGCTTGAGCTCGTAGACCCAAGCTGGGAGAAGGGTTTTAGAGGGTGTTCCACCTCCCAAATGAGATTTTTTAAAGGAGAGGAACCTTTGGATGGTCAGAAATGACATTCTCAGACTGTGACAGGTATGTGTTGATTTGGCATGGGCCTATTTTTATATATTTTTTTAGTCTGACTGCCCGGCGAGCTCTGTCCAATGGACTTGACCTGTTCGGTGGGGGGCTTAAGCTCCTGATGCTCTCCCAACTCACCCTGAAAAAAACCTACAGTATATAATTATTATTGTTATTATTATGTCATTTATATTATTGCCATTATATTAGTAAATTATCATTAGTTATATTTACGCTTGTTTTCATAAAAATGAAAAAGGAAAATTCTTTCATTTTGGCATATACTCTACCTGGTAGTTCGGCTTTGCATTCAAAAATCTTTTGATAATTACTTAAATAGGCCTAGAGAATCCACAGTAAATTGGGGCTCAAGTTGATTATATAGTTCATTAACAGTGGCATATCTAACGCCCCCACCCCCCAAAAATCATGGTCAAGTAAAGTAGTTAAAAATCACCTAAAATCACCATATTTTGCAAATTAGCGCCCCTCAACTGATCATCGAGCCCCCCCCCCATTTCAAGACTTCTAGATACACCACTGTTCATTAACGTACGTAGGCCTACATACTGCAGTACCTTGGCCTACGTACTGCAAGGTTAGGCTCACTATAATCGTGCAAACCCGGTCGCCCATGTTTCCCCAACTGGGAATGACAAAATATGATAATAACGTGGGAAGTGTTACCAAAATTCAAAAGACCACAATATATTAGAAAGTGTACCAATTTTTCATTTCATTTTGATAACTAACAACAGAGTTAGGACAATATTTATAGTCATGAGTATGCAAAATTCATCTGTCGCCAGATAAAATACCGTTTTAGCAATCTGCCATTCAAGGTATGCTGTGTACCACAGGGCTTATAGTTACCAATTTGTAAGCTGGTTGGAAGGTTGTCAATTTGTACTTTAAGTTTTTTAAATCGAGGTGGGTTTAGTATGGTTATAGTACAGTTTATCTGTGTCGCCTAATGCACATAATTTATGTTACATAATCATAATTGCTAGGAAAAACATATATTATTGCAGGAAAACTTTAAGGTAATAACTAATATTTGCTTAGTATAAGATGTTATGAATACTGTATTGTTAATTCGGAAAAGTAGAAAAGTCATCTATGCAAAATAGGGTCTTAAACTTGAAATTTTGATTGTCGCTTTTAAGCAGTGAAACATACGTTACCTGATTTCTTCATATACCAGTTCAAGAATTTGAACCAAACTAAACGCGAGAAGTAGTTAATAAGCATGGATACAGCGTCATTAAATCATCATTGGTGTTAAGTAATCATGTTTAATTAGTAATTGTAATTAAAAAAGGTATTTTACGTTATAGTAACCTACGTTATGTTTTGGAATATTAATCCATATTAATGAAATAGAGGGCATAAAACTATTATAAATGACTTTGAGCAATTGACACCCAGAACCTTGTTTTTACCAACTTTGTGTTTCCCTCGAAGGTTGGTCACTACGCTTTATTATTAGGCTGTGTCTCAACTATATTTAGTTAACAAAATAGTTGATATTTATAATGAAATTTTAAATAGAAAATTTCAGGCAATAGCTTAGGCCTAGTTGAAAGGAATACTACATTGTGAAAAGTAACGTATGTTAAACGAGTTTTGATAACTAACAACAGAGTTAGGACAATATTTATAGTCATGAGTATGCAAAATTCATCTGTCGCCAGATAAAATACCGTTTTAGCAATCTGCCATTCAAGGTATGCTGTGTACCACAGGGCTTATAGTTACCAATTTGTAAGCTGGTTGGAAGGTTGTCAATTTGTACTTTAAGTTTTTTAAATCGAGGTGGGTTTAGTATGGTTATAGTACAGTTTATCTGTGTCGCCTAATGCACATAATTTATGTTACATAATCATAATTGCTAGGAAAAACATATATTATTGCAGGAAAACTAATATTAATAATTTTTGCTTAGTATAAGATGTTATGAATACTGTATTGTTAGTTCGGAAAAGTAGAATAGTCATCTATGCAAAATATGGTCTTAAACTTGAAATATTGATTGTCACTTTTAAGCAGTGAAACATATGTTACCTGATTTCTTCATATACCAGTTCAAGAATTTGAACCAAACTAAACGTGAGAAGTACAGAAGTTAAGTAATAAGCATGGATACAGCGTCAGTAACTCATCATTGGTGTTACAGTAGGTAATCATGTTTAATTCAGTAATTGTAATTAGAAAGGTAAATTACGTTACAATAACCTACGTTACGTTTCGGAATATTAATCTATATTAATGAGATATAGAGAGCATAAAACTATTATAAATGACGTTATTTACACCGCCAACGACAAATGAAAGTTTTGAACCTTCTAAGAAAAAAATGGCATTGAGCAATTGGCACCCAGAACCTTGTGTTTACCAACTTCGTGTTTTCCTTGAACGTTGGTCCTACGTTGGTCCCATCATTAAAGTGAATCAATTTAAGTATTTATTGTAGGCTGTGTCTCTACTATATTTAGTTAACAAAAAAGATGATATTTATAATGAAATGTTAAATTGAAAATTTCAGGCAATAGCTTACAGTAGGCCTAGTTGAAAGGAATATTACATTGTGAAAAGTAACGTGTAAAACATACGGTAATGTATGTTACTGTTGATGTAGCATGTAATAAACATCATTTAATAAAAACATGGGCATTGGCTGATATATTTACTTTCTTTTACATATATCCTAACATACAGTGACTCTCTATAGGAATGCTATCATTCATGGAAATTACTCCTATTGCATATAGAGTACTTCTGATTTATTTTGATGGTAACGTATATTACAGTAAAATATTATGTGTACATTATAATCGCGAGTAAATTCATGATAAAGCAAACGTTACACTAAATAAATTTACATAATCAACATTCTTTAACATCAAATAGATATGATGACAACAAATATGTTTGCAATCATCTTTATTAAATGTTCTATTAGATGAGTAATCCTGGTAACGTACCGTAGGTTATGCAACTTTATCAAATTGAAAGAACGAGCAAAACTAGGGGCTTAACCAGATAACATTAAAAAAAGAACATATTATCGACTACTTCAATGATTTTTTTCTCAAAAACCATAGCTAAAATAAATATAAAAACAAATCAAATCTTCTTGTCGTTGATTATATACAAAAATACTCTTAGTCATTTATGATAGTTTTGAAAAAATGCACGCTCATTTTGAATGCATGGTTATCATTTATTTTTTAATAACATGTACTGTATATACTCACGAGAAATTATAATTATAACGATAGACTCATGATCATAATTATATTATTAATATATTATTATTATTATATTATTATTATGATTACATAATTATATGAAACTTTCATTACATTTACATACATAATATGATTATCATTGGAAGTGTATGTTTAACAAATTTATGTCATTTGTTACCAGAGCATCTCTGTAGATTTTTAATGGGGAAGATCATATGTTGTTTGTTTACTTCTAGTGAGCAAAAATGAAAAGTATCAACCGGATTAAATATATTGTTATATTATTACAGCATCAATTTTTCAAAACAACATAAATGTGTAATTATTTGGGTGTGGCACTTTTTCCCCACTGGTTTTTTATTTGTCATCCTATGTATAATGATATTTTTAGGTACATTTTACACTCAGTTGTAGAAAATCGTCTTACAACCATCTATTATTTAACACTTGGTTCAGTAACTTACATTATTGCATATCAAATCAAATGTATTTATAATGTTAAAGGGTATGCTGTGAAAAAACTATTTGAAGTCAAATGTTAATACGATTTGCACGTTTATAGTGAGCCTGACCAGCCTGACCCTGCATTTCATTATTATTATTATTAATACTACTACTACTAGGCCTAGGCATGTTAAAAATAAATACAATTTAAACACTTATCATAAGACATGATATTGGCCAGCTACGAGTCGGCAATTCTTTTGGTACGCTCTAGCCAAAATGACGTGGGTCGGGGATAGCCAAAAATGGCTTTGGGTTTGCCTTAGTGGGTTTACGTGGGTACATACAGGCTGCTTTGGGTACTCGGCCTAGGCAGGACAAGGCTAGGCCTATTCAAGTAGGCCCTACTACGGGCCTAAATGCGAAACTGTACGGCGTATAGGCCTAGTATACTATTATTATTAATATACATTAGGCCTACCCTAGGCCTACTAGGCCGCCTAGTTTTGTTACTTTAGGCCTCCAGCCTAGGCCCTAAAAAAAGTATTATTTTAGGCCTACCTAGGGACACCACAATTTCAAACTTACTACTACACTAGTAGCCGTGCCAAGCAACGAAAAAAGTGTCACAATTTTATATACTCTTTGCAATAATCCTACAAAGCCTACACTAGGCCCCAAAGAACATTCGCCCTCTTGTATGGAACGCCGTTACTGCCTTTGGTGGCTCTTTTCCGTTCGGCGCATTTGCTATTCGGCCCTTTTACATTACGTTCGGTGCTTTTACATTACGTTCGGTGCTTTTTACATTACGTTTCGGTGCTTTTTACATTACGTTCGGTGCTTTTTACATTACGTTCGGTGCTTTTACATTACGTTCGGTGCTTTTTACATTACGTTCGGTGCTTTTTACATTACGTTCGGTGCTTTTTACATTACGTTCGGTGCTTTTTACATTACGTTCGGTGCTTTTATTAACATTACATTCGGTGCTTTGTAACATTACGTTCGGTGCTTTTATCATTTGGTGCTTTTTAGTTTTACCTTTCGGCCCTTTCATCATTACGTACGGTTCTTTTATCATTCGGTGCATTCATGACCTTTGACTTCGGGTCAAGTGGAAAAAATCAACGGCAGTGGGAACGAGCCTAGTGGAACTTGCGCGCCCCTTCTCTCTTTATTTTTTTTTTTCTTTTCTTCTTTCAACTGTTACGCTATATTATATCTGTCTCTTATACACATCGGGGGGGGGGGGGGGGGGGGGGGGGGGGGGGGGGGGGGGAGGGGGGGGAGGGGGGGGGGGGGGGGGGGAAAAGTTGGGCCAATCGACATAACACTACAGGGGATCCAGGGGAATTCCCCGCTAAATTTTTTGTTTGTTTTAAAGACTCACATAACCTCTGAGGCGTTTTGGGCGATCGTTTTTTTTTCTTATTTTTATGTATTTTATTTAAAAAAATGTAATCATTTCTTTATTGGACTATGACAAACTATTATGAGTAATCTCATAACTATTTGATCCATTGATACATTTTTTGAGATATTTAGGTTTGGGACGTCAGATAATGACCTTCACAATTACACCCTAAACTGGATCGTTACCAAAACATAATAATTTCTTCCTTGTAACTTGGATAAACTTTCCTAAAAGTTGTATTCACATCAGAGAATTCGTTTTTAAAATATATGACGTGTTTGCCTTTAAATAGCTTTAATTAGTACTCACATCAACACCCCACTCCGGATTGTCACTAACTTTTACGCAGCACATCTTTGGTACCCATGGTCTATGTTTGGACAAAGTTTTGAATTATGGAGAATTACTGAAGTGCCGGGCAGAAAACCCCAGAGCAAAAAAATAGAAAAAACTACATACAAGGAAAAAAACAGAACAAAAACATTAGCTTTTCCTGCTACTGCAATAAAAAGCCAAAAAATCAAAACAAAAACAATGGCTTTTCCAGCAACTACTGGGAAAAGCAAAAAAAATCATAACCAAAACAATGGCTTTTTCAGATACTGCTGGTAAAAAGCCAGTTAACTACTGTCAGTCGGCAAACTTTCCCTCCTTATGACCCAGATTTCCTTGTCATAGCTTCCCACGACCCAAGACCTCCAGTTAACATAGAAATGTTGTCCAAGATACAAATATACGGCCAATGTAGTATATTAATGCACTGTAGGTAGTGCCTTGTAACAACAGTATAATTTTTATTTTGTTTCCTTGTTTTTTAGGCCTACGTTTTTCTGCAACCTGTTAGTGTAGGTTGTCTTTTATTTGTTTGTTCGTACAACGAGTTATTATAGTGTATAAATTCCACCTGATCAAACTCTACACTGGAAGATCCGCCAAGTTCAAATGAGGCCTTGTTCTCCATGGGGAATTTGAAGACTTGGCATGTATAAAGGTGGTGGTTTTATTACAGATTTAAAAAAAAAACAAACAAACAAAAAAACAACCTCCCAACAACAAACTTTTTTTTTATATGTGCTAAAAAAAATGAGCTTTTCAATATGGTTCGTTTTCCTACTCATAATTTATCACTTTGTGACAACAAGGCAGACCATGACCTCTAGACCCTAGAGTAAGCCTATATAAATATATGAAAGTTGCAGCATACTAACATAAAGTGTTTAATCTATGTAGGAACTTAATATCTTCAATATGTCACAAATATATCATTCCTAAAAGAACTTCATTTATCCAGCTAGCTAAACATAGGCCTATACCCGGTACCCACCATCAACACAAATAAATGCATAACGTCACTACCACTTATCCATGAGTTGTCTAGGAGAAATATGGTAACCTGAACGTTGGGGTCTAGGCTTAGTTTTTGTGTATTTTCGTCTGTAATTAGGCCAATCTTATTTTAGTGGTCTTAAATAATTGTTCTATTTGATCAAAACTAATCGCGATGTTTAACATACTAGAAGATAAGAAGTGAGCGCACCCTCTAGTAATATGAAATCCGCAGAAATGCAATTAAAACAATAATTTTATATTTTCTCAATATTATTTCATGATGCAATGTTAATACCCAACTTTTTTTTTTTATAAATGATATTAAATATTGGATGGCTGCAACATGAATAGAGTAATGATTTATAATTAGAATTAAGAGTGCATGTTTGTTATGGATTTAGAATCATAATGAAAGGATACGCAAAAGAAAGAAAAAGAAATTCCTATTGCTAACTGTAAAAATGGTCAAGATCGGTTTATACGAAATAATGCATGCAGTAGGATTCTTCACTTTAAGGATTCAGAGGAAAACATGTTGGTGTATTGCTCAATAGGTCTCGAAATACAAAGTTGAATATTTTTTTCTTATTTTGAGAATTCTGTAGTTGTTGCGATACAGTAAACAAAGCAAGTATCCCCTTAATTGGTGTTATTTCAACATCTGACACACTCAAAAAAAATTGATGGGTCGCATAATCTCTTTAGATCGTGAGAAATTTACTTAACACGAACGAAGATAAACGAAATTAAATTACAGTAAACGAAAGTGCAATTTAAGTGTGACAAGTGCGTCAGTTTACTATTTATTAGTGCGTTATCACAGTTTCATTTTAACAATATACTATCAAAACCTTCAGGTATGACAATTTTAAATTTAGTTTTGTTAATTTTAATGTGTTAGGCTTTCGGCTGCAAGTTATAATGAATAAAAATATTTTTAAATTTAATGTATCTATGTCTTCGCATAACCCATAAATCTCTGGCAGCACTAGGAATTTATAATAAAATGTCTGTTCATCATTAATTTTTAAAAATTGTTAAATTATTGAAAAAATTGATAACTTACGTGATTTGGTTAAATGAGTAATTCAGAGTTATATTTTCATTCCTATGGCTTTTACATAGTGATTTTTTTGGGTGATAATATCTTGTAATCAATTCACAAGAGAATCAAGTGTGTGGTTCTTCCCGCTATCCCTCGCGCTTATAAAACGACGGGCGTTTAAATCACTTCGGGTTCGATGGGTCGCGTCAGACTGCTTGACATATAATTTGGGTCGTGGGTTAAAAAGGTTGCTGAACGGGGACTAAGACCATACCATCATTTATTACGTAGGCCTATTATATACACTTCCTTAGCAATCCAGTATGACCTATAAAATGTCTCTACCTTTGAGAGTTTATAGGTAAAAACTGGTTTGCTATCATGGATACAGCCCTGTCCACACTATCAATTGTATGTGACAAATTCGTGTGGCATGCTCATATATGGGCATTATGATATCATAGCCTGAGTATGATCATATATCCTCATTTTTTTCACATGAAATGTGGTAGTGTGGACAAAGCTTTAGACACAGGTCGTGGCAATGGTTTTTGACGTCATAGACGGGTACGGTACCTGTCTGTTTCTTTAACAAGGAAATTAGGAAATGCGGTTGAGAAATTTCATGCTTCGGTTGTTCACACTTTTTTTCTATTCGTTTATTATAACTCTAATAAATGAGCTATCTTTTTTAAGTACTAAGGTTATTTCTGAAAGCTCTATAGCAGAAAAGTTATTTCTGTGGTAGCCTGTATAACATCCAGAAAAATATGAGGCACATTATGTACACAGCTGTGTATACGGTGTATTCCATCATCTTTTTTCCGATATTTACTGATGCTTTAAATGGGACGTGTAAGTACAAATGCTCAAAAAGTTAATGTGTTTATTTTTCTATAAGAAAAAAACTGTTATACTTATCTCTGTTCATATAATTAATTGAGATATCCCCTACCCAGTTTATTATCTAAAGTATATTTGTCAGTGTGAAATGTCTTTTTCTGTTTTTTCTTGCTGTCAAAGTAATGGGCTTTTAGGATATTTAGTCAATGATTAAAATATATGGTAGTGACATTAGTGGGGATTTAGGGTTGGCGGAATGGGCGAGGTAGAGCACTGAGGAGGTAAAAGTAAAACTTGAATGTCTGGAAACCAATGTAAACATACCAGATTTTCCCTCCTGTACTATCATATTACTTTTAAGAAGTTTGGTCAATGCATTAAAAGGAATAGGAATAGGGGTGGAAAAATTGTATGGGTCTTACATCACATTCCCAGCCTGATATCGTGTAGGATTTAGTTTAGAATTAGCTTTTTTTGTGATGTACACTGATAGTACTTTGTTGGAAAAGAAGTCGGTCGATGTGTTACAAGGGGTGAATTTTCTGTATATTGTCATATTGAAAGGTTTTGCCTGTGCATTAAGGTAGAAACGTTGGGGTCTTACATCACCTCCCCAACATTAGTTTTATGCTGTACACTCATAGTTTTGTTCTGAAAAAATTGGTTCGTGTGCTAGATGGGGTAAAATTGACCGGTTTGGAGGTTCTTTGAGGGAGTTTGGGGACTTTGACGGACAACCACCATTAGGGGGTCAAGCCTTCTAGGAAAAATGAGTGAAACCTCCTGTTGCTAGCTCTTAGAGTACGAGCTTTTTGCACACAAGACGAATGGAATTGTAATTGAAAATTACTTTCGTAAAACAAGGTTAATTAGCCCCCGACGAAAATCACTTTAAATTCAATATTAAGTATGAACAATTAAGCAATTTCTTGAATCAATGAACCTTAATAAACTAAACAAACTGAACGTTTAATAGAAATATTCTAGACCTATTTTAAAGACTCAAGGAACGAAATTAGACGGATGTAGGCCTACGGCCAGGCAGGAGTTTGCCGGGGCCTCCTAACTAATACTACAACTAGTCTAGCCTAGGCCGTATGTTACGTCG